TTGTTTCCTTGTTGTGCATTATTTCCTAACTGTATTGAGACCACTTAGTTCGTATTTTTGAAAGGTCTATGGAATAAAAGCAGGCGCAACAAGGAAGAAGAAGAAATGAGGATGAAATGACCATTTTACCCTTATAAATAAAAAATTTAAAAAGGTTTAAGTTTTTTCGGTCAATTTCCACCGGTGATTTGGTCGGAAGGACCAAATCTGTTAAAAAAAACATAGTTAAAGGACTAAATTGTTAGTTTTAAAAGTCACGTACTAAAATTAACACGCTCCCTATAGTCATAGGACCAGAAGTGTAATTTGCTCTTTTTATTAGTATCACAAATATTTAATGTTTATTGAATAATAAGAAATTGATCAACTACATTCCTCCTGAATTAATTATAAACTAGACTAGATAGCATGTGCAATGATATTATAAAAAAAATATTCTTCAATAAATTAATAGTAGAGTTGACATTCTTAAACTAACTCTATGGACGAATGCCGAGGGAATATAGTTCTGACTCTCAGCTCGTGTGTACATTGATAATGCATTATGGTCATAACATATTGGAAAGGAAATAAAAATAGAGTTAAGCTATTGTATTTGGATTTCCATGGAAGAATGTGTTTAGTGTTGTAGCTTGGATGAATTAGTTCTAGAGGAATGGATCTTTATTTTCAAAGTGAGTTTGGGTGGCCTAGACGAGATGAGAAACATTTTGGGTAATGTTAAGGATGCTTGGGATGAGTTTATAATCTTTATATAAGGTAAATGTAAATGGTAGTGTTACGGGATAATTAGGAAAAACGGGTTCAAGGGGAGTGTTGCAAGATTGTATCGAGAGTATTTGGCTATGTGGTGGGCTCATTGTGAGCATCAGATGTTAGCCCTCTTACCTAATGGGTCATTGAGTCACTGGAATTTACCACTCCACTATTCTGTCAGGCTAAGACGTGAGGTCCGGGGTTGAGAAAACTTTTTTTTTTTTTTTTTTTTTTTTTTTTTTTTTTTTTTTTCTGGGCATATAAAGAGGCAAGGAGATGGATCATCATCTATTCATCTTCATATGGTTAAAGCTATTAATGAGCTTACTAAAAGGGTTTGGCATTGTTGCATACATTAGACAGCTACAAATGAGGTTCAGTTGTACCTGGGAAAGGTATATATATTCATCCTCTCTTGATAGCAAATTGCATTGCTATTGTATGGCTATGATTATTTTTGTTAATTTGATTTATATTTCTTTATTTTTGATGTATTGAAAAAGATAAAGTAAATTAAAGCTACTAATACCACAGTGGATGACAAAAATTTATCATTAGATGAATGATATATTCAAAAATTTATATATAATTGGCGTTTTAATTTAATTAATTTTTTTTTAAATACTCCCTCCGTCACATTTTATGTGTCTGGTTCAGTTAACAAAGCTTGACTGGAGTTATTTTTAATCTAATTTTTCATAATATTAAGTTTAGTATTAGTATATAAAAGGGAAAATGACACTTTTTCCCCCTTTGTTATATACTTATAACACTTTTTCCCCCTAAATTATTTAAGTGGCAGTTTTTCCCCCTGATATATTAAATGGACATATTTACCCTTAAAATAAATATTTCATTTATTTTTCTTCTCCAACAAATTATAACCACGATTTGAAAAAATAAAATACATTAAGTGTTGAATTTAGAATATTTTAAAAATAAAAAAATAAAATTTTAAAAGAAAGTTTGAACCAACTGTTCAAATTGGATCCAAAATCGTGAACCGACAGTTCAAAATAAAACTCAAACCGCGATTATATATACTTATATGTGAGAGTCAATATAAATGCGGAAAAAAAACATACACTATTTGCAAATATTATAATTCTAATTTAAGCTATTGCTAGTAGTTGTTCCAATTTGAACCTCCGGTTCACGGTTCAGGATCCATTTTTTTCCAGTTCACGATTTTAATAAACGGAAACCCAAATATTGGGTTATGTTATGAATCATAACCGAAATTTTTTAATTTGATTGCTATAGTGTTTGGTTCAGTTCGAACCGAACCGTGGTCATCCCTACGTATAAGCAATAATTTGTTGAAGAAGAGAAATAAATAAAATATTTGTTTTAAGGGTAGAAATGTCCATTTAATATTATCAGGGGGAAAATCGCCACTTCTATAATAATTGAGGGGGCAAATGTGAATGCATGAATAACTCAGGGGAAAAAGTGCTATAAGCATATAACACAGGGGGAAAAAGTGTCATTTTCCCTATATAAAATTTATATATTTAGAAACTACACTAAAAGTACTATTAAACACACAAAAAAAAAATTAAATTTAAAATTAAATTAAGTAAAAAATACTAAAGAAAATAAACAAAGAAGAAATGGTTGGTTTGACCAATGAATAATAAGTAGGACAGATAAATGGAACACAGAGAGTAATTGTTTAGGTTTTATTTTTTAATTTCTCGGTACTTTTTTGATTACTTTGAGTCATTTGATTTTGCAAAGTTAATTTTAATTTTTTCTTTTGAATATTGCATTTTTCGCTTATGATATTCAAGTTTAAATTTAATTAGATTTGTTCTTTAATTTAATTATTGAAAATGTGTTGCTTCTTGTCCCTGTATATTTTCATTAGTCAAAACTAGGTGTAGTTCATTTTAAGTTCGATGGTAAAAAGTGAAAGACTATAATAATAATTAAAAGACAAACTATTCTTTTCAAAAAAAAAAAAAAAAAAGAAAAAAGAAAAGAAAAGAAAAGAAAAGAAAAGAAGAAGACAAAATATTATTAACCTTATTCTTTCCCTTCTTTAATTTATATTTCCAACTTATATTTATCTTCAATACTGACATTTAAACTTATCATTGCTTTTTCTAAAAAAAAGAATTAGATAGAATACTCAACATATTTTATTATACTCCGTATTTATTATGATACGGAGTAATATTTTATTTTGACAATAATTACAATACTTATATTAGATTTATATACTACATGTTTTAAAATGTATGTGTAGATCGAGTTTTTCGATATATGATAGAAAATTTGTGTGTGTGTGTTTTTTTTTGTGAAAAAAAAAAAACTTGTGTGCATTAATGTATGTATCGAAAAGGATATGTGAGATTCAAACTCTAATTGTCATTCTAAAATGAAATATAATTTACGATTAAATTATACTCGAAACATTATACTTTCCGGCTTTCCCCTTCGGAGTATCTAGGAGCCCCGTATGGCGGAAGCGTTAGCAATAATGAAGTGCTTGGATGGATTAAAAATCGTGGCCTAATTGCTACACGACTTTCGAACTTTGCAAACTTGGTCTACGACTATCATTTTTTTGAAAGCACAAATGGTTCTTCTGGCTAAATCTCAGCTCTGTCCACGGCTCAACCCTGTTATAAAGAAGATTTTTTTTTTTTCCGGTCACAAATGGACGGAAATTGAACCGGAAAGACCATTTGTGCTAAAAAAAAAATAATAATCGTGGACCAACTTTGCAAGGTTCAAAAGTGTGGAGCAATCGTGTTAGTGCCACAACACTTATGGGACCAAAAGTGCGAAAAACTCTACTTTGAGTATTCTAATATAATTTGTAGTTGAAAATGATGTAGCGACTACTTTTTTTTTTTTTTTTTTTTAAATTATATTATAAAGGAAAAAGATTATTTAGATAATATTATATAAAAAAAATTTCACTTTTAATTATTAACTATTGTGACATTATCTGCATTTACTAGCACCGGAGTTCGATCATGTGACATTCCTTCAAGGGGAGCCACAAAGGTGTCATCTAAGCACAAGGTGCTTGTCGGCATTACTGCATTTAATCATATTTTTTTTAATTTTGTCACATTATATGCATCTTGATTTTCATTTGTTGGACATATATAATTAGTCATCCTTTTAAAATTTTCTCATTCCATAGTTTAATAAAAATGATTAACATCTATTTCCGTACTTTAAAAAAAACATCTATTTTCGTCATTTAATTAAAAGAGCAAATTAAAGAGGGTGAGAAATTACATGTTAATTAGGACAAGAGGCTTAAATGATAAAATGATAGGTTGACCCTTTTGACAAAAATTAAGGATGTTTGGTTGACAATCACATCGAAACTAACTAACTGAAACCTTTCTCTATTATATCCTTACCAATTTGTTCAATTTGGCTGTAATGTTTGGTTGACAATCACATGGAAACTAACTGAAACTAATCATTAATCATTAAATAAAAATTAATGAACCTTTTATGATGATGACCAAAATGATACTCCGTACTAAACAAAAAAATTCTTGCATCAAATTTAAACTTTACTTTCTTTTATTTTATAATTCTAAACTATATTATTGCTTAATATATACACTAATACCCTTAATTTGTGAAATCGATCCGATTAATTCAACCTAGCGTAAATTAAGCTTCATTCGGAGTAGCTCAGGTTACTCAGATCTTTTTCATCCACTTGGCTTAATGTCCCCTCTTATTCATTTTTTTATTTTTTATTTTTAAATTATTGCAATTAAAATTTGTCAAAGCAAATTATTCCAGCTGGCAGCTTGTTTTATATGGATAAGATAGAGCTAAGAAGAAGTCGTTTTCCTATGGCCTCGCAAGGGCTTGATATTATAAAGACTTTAAAATTGATTAGTGGCTTGCACGATGATCCAAATTGATGGCTAATTAAATCACCTTTAATTTGACCTTTCATTTTAGACTAAGTCCATATGCTCTTACTTTCATTCTTCGGGTATACCCTACAGCGTTTGGTATCAACTTCAATTCTAGGATTTCTAGCCAATTGTTATATCATGGACCAAGATTCATATTGTATTGTAAACTCGGATACAAAAATTCTGTACATTCAATTAACACATTCTGTAGGTACAATTTATAATTTCTGTAAATGTAAATAAATAATTTGATAATTGCTGACACATAATATGATAGTTACTGGTATAGAAACTATCAACCTACAAGTACATAACGTTTCAAATATAGATACAGAATTAGACAAAATGCATATAATTTTATTTCTAAATATACATAAAACTCTACTAAGTAGAAGAGTTTATTTGCCCCGGCCTACATACACATCATTATTTGTACAAGTGGCTTTATTAACAATTTCTAGGCAGAGGATAGTAAATGTAAATGTATGAAAATTAATAGAATTTACTTAATATACACCTTTAAATAATGATTGTAAATTTTTTCTAGCCACAAAAAAACAAAACCCACAGTATACTGAGCTGAGGAAGTTAATTATTCCACTTTCCAATTTTTCATGACTTCATTGAATGGAGCAAGTTGGATTGGAGTCGTAAACTGGTTGACACACCGGATAGTACTGTACGCACGGATTGTAGTAACCCGGCGGCGGACAAGGACAAGGACAAGGATAACGGCAAGTTTTGCAGCATTCCACTTTCTTCTCCTTCTCATCTTCCTTCTTCTCATCTTTCTTCTTATCGTCTTTCTTGTCGTCTTTCTTATCGTCTTTCTTATCGTCTTTCTTCTCCGGCGGCTTCACTTCTTCAATGGAGACAATGCTGGCGCATCTGAATTTCCTCTTCAAGCACTTCATTAACTCAAAGAAATCGACGCCGTTGCCGGTAACCACCAACTGGTTTTTATCTGCATCACTAGTAACCGAGATCACCCCTGCATCACATCCAAACACCATTACTTCCTTTTGGTCCTTTGCGACAAGACAGTTTATCCTGTGCATACCCTCAAAGAGTGGTGATAAGTTTAAATTCCCTCGTCACTCAAAAGAAAGAAAGAAAGAAAAAATGAGGTAACCAAGATGACTAAGGATATATGATACACACTTGTAACAACAATGTCACGAGTTCGAATTCCAGCCTTTTTTGTTTGAGCTGATCAGCTACAGACAACCTAAGCTAGGTTGGTTTACATCTTTGCCAGTTAAGTCACAAGGTGGGTTACCCTGTAAATACCTTCGGATAATAACGGCTAGGTTTCTCTCATTACCCAAAAGAAAGAAAGAAAACAAAGAATATAATGGTATTTTGTGATGTTATGATATGAAATGAGTATGTATATATAGCTTATTTACCTGGAGTAGATACTGCAATTTGCATAGCCTTTGCCCGGCATTTATCGCTGTTTACCGGCAAACTAATCGTGATCTTTTGCTAAATTCAATCATAAACATATATAAGAACACAAATCAATCATCACTGTTATAAAACATTAAAGATTGATATATAAGTAAGTGATTTGGAATAAAACTAACATATATATACATATACCTTCATGTTGAATGTTGTTTTGTTATGTTTTCTTCTAGCTTTTCTCGACCTAGCTATCTAGGAGCCTGGGGCTAGCTGTTTATGGATGTTTATATAGAGTAGTATATAGCAGTGTCTAATGGGGGCAGTTCACAGTTGTCCCCCTCACCCACCCCAGCACTATATATATAGGTATATGTTTTAGTAAAAATAAATAATGTAATCTTATGCATAAAAATTTCTACAAGTTAAGATAGCTAAGTTGGTACTGGCTAATTTTATCTCTTTCTTAACCCACTTATTAAAATATATGTTACTTTATATTTTGACTTTATCTTGCTCTAACAACTTTAGAATGTTTTAATATATTTTAATACAAAATTATATTTTAATATGAAAATGTTTTATTATTTATTTTTTATGAACTATTTAGTTAATGTAATCTAGAAGTTTTAATGTGCATTATTGTATTTAAATTATCCTAGAAATACTTAGAATTGGACTAATTAAAAAAAAAATTATTTATGAATAGATATGATATAAAATTGTCAAGTACTTTATGTTCAGATGACATGTAATGACCTTTCCTCTATGGGAGGTCATGAGATTGAGCCTATAGATATGATATAAAAGGAAAAATTGTAATTTATGCCCCTCTATACTATGCGAATTATCAATGTCAGCCCTGAATTATTAGTGATGTAAATATTGCCCCTCAATTTTTAAAACGGTACATATATTGCCTCTCCCATACCGTATGGGAGGGGCAATATATGTACCAATTTGAAAAATGAGGGGCAACATTTACACTACGGGAGGGCACTATATGTACCGTTTTAAAAATTGAGGGGCAACATTTACACCACTAATAATTTATGGGTGACATTGATAATTGACATATTATCGAGGGGTATAAATTACAATTTTTCCGATATAAAATTTATTTCAATCATAAATATTTTTATTTTTCTCTTACCAAACAAAATTTCTGGATAAATGGATCCGTCCCTATATAGTATAACTCCATAAACGTGTACTAATTATTCTTTAGGCAGGTAGGAATAGGACGACCAATGTACATTGGTTTGAGATATATTAATGTAGGAACTAGGAAGCTACGTACCTAACTAGACGGATTCAACCCAATGGGGTGGCAAATTATAGTACTAATTAATGCAATATAATTCTTGTGGGATCAATCTTATATATTAATCTAATATTACATGCACTCGTTTTACTTTTATGTTTTTTACATCATGTTGATGTTTGGTTGCGTTGTGCTATGACATCATGTTGATGTAGTATACTCTAACTAATTCAGCAGTAAAAAATAAAGTGAACAATACTTGATAAAGTTGATAGAATGAGTATAATATAAGGACAAAATTTATATTTTTAACATTTTAAATTATACATAAAATTCGTCAAAGTTAGTGAACTTAAATTGAACACATATAATACACAGAAACTCTTGTAGGGTAATGCATCTCCATTTTATAAGCGTTTCAGTTCTAAAACTCATTAAAAAATATTTAGTGCTATTTTCTAATAAAATAAAAAGTTTCAAAAAGTTAAGGTTATTTTACAATTAAATAAAAATTCAACAATACATTTATGAAATTAGGAAACACGTTAGGAATCCAAAATAAAAATAACATTCTTTGGTCAGAATCAGAAAAGTCGAGATTATAAAATCTAGGGATAAGATCAAATTAAATAAGCTCTTCAACTATAGGCTAAAATGTAATTCAACTTTTAAATTAAAAAAAATAACTTCAATTAGATCCCTTAACTGTACTCCTTATTTTGATGCAATTAGGTTAATTAACCGGTTACCTTTAAGTAGCCAGTAAAAAAGACGTCACGGCCTCTCTCAGCCACCAACGACACCGCTACTACCAACACCTGCCACCGCCACTGTGCTGCTCAGCTTCTGCGACCACCACTGTCGCTATCTTCTCTCTATTGGTTTTTCAGCTTGAGAGAATGGACGGTAAAGGGGGAAATCCGATCCATGGACGAGGCAGACCAATCTGAAGAAGTCAGCCTTGTTTAGCTTTCTGCCTTTCTGGATATTGGACACTGATGAAGCTATTTCATTATTGTCTTCTTATTCCCATCCCAGAATAACTGATATTCATTTAGATCTTGCTTCTCCACCCTCGCTCTCCTCAGTTTTTTTTTTTTTAAATTTAAGACTGATAGCCACTTAGATCTTTTTGCTGCTAGTGTATTTCCTGTTTGAATCTCCATTGTCATTTTGTTTGTACACTGTTTGTGAGCATGTCAAGTTCTTACTAGCGCAGTAGTACACCTAAACTAAATCTTTCTTACATTTTGTTTTCATATGTTGCCTTCTGTTTTGAGTGTTTTAAGTTCACTTAATGGTTTCATAGGTTGCCTATAGAGATTAGAGAATGTCTGTGTAAATCAGTTCATGTTTTTATGGGATTTTGAATAGCTCATGCAAAAATGACGTGAGTTACTGCTTGAAGTTGTGAAAGATTTGCACAATAAGGAATAGGTTGTGACTTGGTACATAAACCAATCTTTCTGGTAAGTTTTGAAAGAGCTTCTTGAATTAGACGGGGGGAGAAGCCCGCTGACAACATGTAATCTTTTTAAAAAATTTAATTTAAAATTAATTAAAAAATAATAATTTTACCTACTATTACATTGAACTTACCTGTAAAATAATCTAATTGTACAAATTCAAAAAAGTTAGTGATTAAATTGCATTAAAATGAGGAATTAAGGTGTTCAATTGAAACTTTTGTTAATTTAAGAGTTTAATTACTCTTTAGCTTATAATTGAAGGGCCTATTTTACCCTTATTCTTAAAATCTAAAAGGTGTCTTCTATTCTTAAGATCTATATCATTGAATCTATGTGTTTCCCTCTTCAATTTTAGACTCCTAAGACGTATATTGCCAAATCTTACAATTGCAACTTGGCTAGTGACGCGTACCGTCATTCGCCGTTTGACGTTGGGAACCTACTTCTTCATCATTTTTTTTTTTCTAAGACCACGAGGTGTCCTGAACAGATTTTAACTGTAAGAGACACCTACTTCTTCATCTTGTTGTGGAATGAATTGGAGTAGTTATTACTTTATTCATTTATATATTTAGATATTTAGAAAAAAAAAAAAATTAACTCCTAAACATGTTGAAATTTAGTTTTTATTCTCAATAACTTTTGTCTTTGTTATAAAATACCTTTGAATATTATGATAACAAATAAAAAATGTGCGATGTTGGAGGGCAAAATTTTGCGATCATAGAAGACGTTAGCATTTTTTTAGTTTGTCAACCGATATTTAATTAAATGAGTTTGAGTTTGAGTTTGAGTCTATATTCTTTTTTTTTTTTTTTTACGAAAATCAATGTTGATGAATATAGATAAATAATTAGAATGTTTAAATTTAAAAATATTTTAGACATTTAATTTTTTTTTTCTAATTTCGAATACATTTTGTGACAATGAACTATTTTTGAATTATTATTTAGTGCATTATTTTTATGAAAAAATATTTACTAATATATTTATACATATTTTAAAAATATTTACAAATCTACCTTTATATTCTTTCAAAAAATAAAAATTTAAGAACCAATGATTCGTTTTTTTCTTTTTTCTTCTTTTCCTGTTGAAAAATTCGTCTCCCCATTTCTTCCTATATAATTGGACTAATTGAACACTGGTGGTCAACAAAAGAAGCCTGGAGTCAATTACGAAATGCTTTTGCAAAGTCGTCTCCTCATTAATTCATATAATATTTTGATTTTAATTAAGCTTAATTTTGCGCATCTTTAATAATCAGCTTAGTTGATGTTACTGTACGCTCTCATTCCTCAAGAAATGTTGGAAATTCAAAGCTCTGTGTGTGAACATTATTTAACCAAAAAAGATCTTAATTTCCTGTAAGGTGTTTAGAACCCCAAAAAATCATTTTCTGAACTTCCCATGTTTGGCATGTAAGATAAATCTTATGAACGTAAAATTTTCAGAACACATAATTTCTACATACAATGCTTAATTGGTGTTTAATGAACATACCTGGTTCCATCAATATATGAGCCACATCAATAATCAATAATAATAATAATAATTTTAACATGGCAAAGGAAGGAAATTAGAGTCAACTGAAAATGAGAATGATGAGTTAAAGAGAAAATAGCATGGTTTTTCCAAAAATAACTTCCCGAACCAAGTCATAATTGTTTTTCTTCAAAACCTTCTCTCCTTACCCAAGTTTTCCAACCCAACCTGCCAGCCGCTGTCGCACCCCAAACTCGGCCAGTAGTAGTAGTAGTGATGATGTTGTGTGTTTAGGAATTTCATAATAATAATAATAATAATGTATATTTTAAATGAACTAAACACACCAAGATAGTTTCATTTTAAATGAACCAAAAACACCAAGACAGTTTTATTTTAAATGAACCAAACACACTAAAGAGAGTTTTTTTAGAAAGCAACACACTTGGAAAAGAAAATATTCTCTAAAATATAGCTCATTTTTCAGAAGACATTTTCGTGATTTTCAAACACAGACCAAATGTAAATGTATAAAAATTGACAAAATTTACTTAGTATACCATCCTAAATAATAATTATAGATTTTCACGCCACACAAGTTATTCCACTTTCTAATTGTGCATGCATGACTTCATTGAATGGAGCAATTTGGATTGGAGTCGTAAACGGGTTCACACACCGGGTAGTATTGTACGCATGGATAATTGTAGTAACCCGGCGGACAAGGACAATGACTGCTGCATTCACCTTTCGTCGGCGACGATGGCTGCGGCGCTGGCGCTGCCGGTGGAGGTGGCGACGGCGGCTTCACATCTTCAAGGAAGATAATGGTGGCGCATTTGATTTTCTTCCTCGTCAAGCAATTCATCAACTCAACGGAATCGAAGCCGTTGCCGATAACCACCAACTGCTTTTTATCTGCATCACTACTAACTGAGATCACCCCTGCATCACATCCAAGCTCCATTACCTCCTTCTAATCTTTACCCCGTGCACTACACTCTCCAGTAGTGACAACGGGTTTTCCTCGTCACTCAACAGAAAAAAAAAATTAAAAAATAAAAAAAGAAGAAAAAGGAAGTGGTATTTCCGCTACTGGAAATTATGAAATTTCGGAGCACCTGAAAGTGATCAAATGGAAAGCAAAAAGTGGTCAGAAATAACAACAAAGGTTTTTTCTGATACCAAAAGTGATCGGAACAAGGCTTTCAACTTGATTTAAAATCACTTTCAGGTGGTCGGAAATTTCATAATTTCCAGCAATGTTTGTAAAGCTATGATATGAAACGAGTATAGCTAGCTTATTTACCTGCAATAGATACTGCAATTCCCATAGCCTTTGCCCGACATTTATCGCTGTTTACCGGCAGGCTGATCGTCAGTTTTTTCTAAATTCAATCATAAACATATATAAGAAAACAAATGAATCATCATTGTTATAAAACGTTAAAGATTGAGACTGAGATGTATTTGCATTGTATTTGGAATAAAACAAACCTTCATGTTGAATGTTCTTTTATTACGTTTTCTTCTAGCTTTTCTCGACCTAATAAGCCTGTGGATGTTTATATATAGGATGACTCATAATAGTGTGCTAATTATTCTTTGATCAGGTAGGACCAATGTACATTAATATGACATTAATTTAATTAGGAACTTATCAAACTAGACGGATTCAACCCAGTGGGGTGAGTGGCTTGGCAAATTATAGTAATTATTATACCAAGATGGTGTTCCCTTGCAGTTGGCTAGCTGAGGTGCAGTGATATGAGAGCCATTGATCTTGTGAAGATCAACGTTCAGGATTAACAATAATTAAAAAAAATATTGTGCCAATTTAGTCCTTTTTCATCAATGTCAAATTTTAAGGTGCGTGGTTTATGTGTTTAAGGTGCGTTAGTTGTTGAAATTTTTGTGCGTCGGTCTAAAGCTTTAAGTGCATGGTTTTCCTTCTTAAGGTGCGTGGTTAGTTTTCTTTCTTAAGGTGTGTGGGTTCTATGCTTAATGTGTGTCAATTCTTCAAGAATGTAAGGTGCGTCAATTTAAAGTTTCAGGTGCGTTGTTTTACTTCTTAAGATGTGTGGTTTGCATTCTTAAGGTGTGTGATTTGTGTGTTTAAGTTGCGTCAGTTGTTAAAAACTTAAGTGCGTTGGTCTAAAGTTTTAGGTGCGCGATTTTAATTACTTCTTTAGGTGCGTGATTTTCATTCTTAAA